CAAACTCTTCGAAATGAGCATTTGGTGTGCTCGTCAAAACAATCCATGCAACCTCACTCAAATGACCTCTGAGATTACCGGTCCGAGCGGCGCAGCAGAAGAAATTTGGTTAAACTCAAGAATAGATACAATCCAAGGCATGAGAGCTTTGGGAAGAGAATCTTTAATATTATAGGCAGTATGGTTGCAAGGTGTCAAACTGTGTGAGACCTACCTAGCTGCCCAGCTGGTGGATGCCAGAAATTTTGGCTGGCGCGTGCCAGCCAGCTCCCAGCTGGACAAGGGGTCATGTCCACTTTCTGAAATCCTGATTCCCAGCTGATAGTTCCAGGTAGGGGCAACGTGCCGGCACTTTGGCGGTGTAAGTATATCATACATTCAAGCTTCAGCCTTCTCACCCCTTCAAATAGATTCGAATAATTGCACCCACTGAACCTTACGCTGATAAGCTGTGTTTTGAAGCATGCATGAAAATAGACAAAAGGAGCACTATTAGGAGGCTATACATGGAATATGTATGTCTCTATCAGTAAATCCGACATGTAGCATCAGACACTAAGGGCATAGACGAAACATGTAGTCTATGAGTCTTGAGTGGTCGCTTATTGGGAACAGTCCATACCCGAAAGGACTATCTGGCAAAAGGGAGGACAGACACTATCACAAAACATCTAGAGTGGATAGTCTGGACTCTATCTTATCACGAAACATGACCCATGCTGCGAAATATGACCAAGTCCGGCTGGCCAACATGGCGATCATGCTTTGATCGGATATCACCAATATCATCATGATCTTCTGAATTAGGAAGATCGAAGTTCAGCATAAGGTTTCTGAACCAGGCACTGGTCCTACCAAGGACTTGGGGGTATCAATCGAAAGCTATTGAGTCCTAGAACTCGATTCTGGATACTCTGTTCGAGGGAGAGGCCTGCACAGTTGAAGAGACAGACTGTGACACGGCGGACAATCAACTGTCATTTGCGATCCGAGTTGCCGCTGTCATTGAACTGATGGTGGAACTGTCATTTGCTTAAATCCGAGGTAATTTTCATTTTGAGGTGATTTCGGACTTTGCCGTGACCACGATGCAGCCACGCGTTTTCGGGTCTTTCTGTGAAATAAATAATCTGAAAATGATAATATTCCTGTCTTGGGGTCAGTTCCTACTCAAATACCTTCGGAGGGGACTTAAAATAAACCTATGAGCATAGAGTACAAGTTTATCAAATAGGCTTGAGGGAGAACACATGAAAACTGAGCAAGAACATGCCCCGAATGTAAGAATATCTGGATGTGATTGGAAAATCTAATGTTCTGGTTTATTCAACCACCAGACCCACAGGCACCTTGGTGGAGGGATTGATTTCAGACATAAGATAGTTTTCTAATTTTTTCTAGATCGAACTTCACAGCAGGAGGGCTGCGATGGACGCACATCAAGAGGAGCGTGACAGTTGAAAGCCTGCCGGACACTGCCGGGGAATTCGGAGCTGTCACGCTCATGTTGATGCAGTAGCACACCAGCTATTCCGCCCCTCATTTTGCTCGGCAAAAATTTCTAGAATCATTGGGTACCCAAATTCAACGCACTCCATAAATCTTACGTGATTTGGTTGGTTAAATAAACCAGAACATTGAATTTTTTGATCACATCCAGACATTCTTACATTCGGGGCATGTTCTCGCTCAGTTTTCATGTGTTCTCCCTCAAGCCTATTTGATAAACTTGTACTCTATGCTCATAGGTTTATTTTAAGTCCCCTCCGAAGGTATTTGAGTAGGAACTGACCCCAAGACAGGAATATTATCATTTTCAGATTATTTATTTCACGGAAAGACCCGAAAACGCGTGGCTGCATCGTGGTCACGGCAAAGTCCGAAATCACCCCAAAATGAAAATTACCTCGGATTTAAGCGAATGACAGTTCCACCATCAGTTCAATGACAGCGGCAACTCGGATCGCAAATGACAGTTGATTGTCTGCCGTGTGATCACTCATTTAGGAGTGATCACATGGAAACCAAATGGAAACCCATTTATTGTGGGAACCACTTGGTGTCTCCTGGACTTCTTGGTATCATTGGAAAACAGAATGCTAGAACATGGTTCTGGACATCGTTCTCAAGGGAGAGATGTGTGGTCTGCACTGGATATTTGGTTAGGAGACTTTGGTGACAACTAGGGGCTCCAATTAAATATCTGAAGGCAACCATCTCGACAGGTGTCGTCCATGACATTGCACTGACTCGTTCTGACTCACTCTGACTCGACTCAATACATATTAATCATGTGAAAGGCTTGGACACTTACAAACCATCTTTGGAGTAGCATAATCATAGTAGAGTAAGCCAGTTTTGTACTGTATATAAGGAGGGCTTCTGTACGATAGTAGGCACTGATGCAGCACCCCAACTAGCATGGCCTTGTGTCCTCTGCGCTGGGAGTGTCGATCAAGGTGTTTACTGTTGTGCTTGGGCCTTTGCTCCCAAGTATCATTAAATACCACAATCAACTACATTTTGGCGGGCTATCAAGGGAGAACAAAGGGTACCGACGTGATTATTGTGATATCAGGGGACGCATTGGAACGGGATACGACGTGTACTTGCATTTTGGCTCAGGGGCATTTTTGTGATAAGCGCTTGATAGTCTTGGAGACTCTAAGTCCAACCTTGTTGCAATGAAGGATGTTCAACCTTCGGTTGAAAGCCTAGTTTTACCACATTCTCGATAACACAGACCCAGAGCATCGCACTAGCTCAAGTGTAGCTCACACTTCAGCTTCTGAGATTGCATTCACTCCTGACCCAAGAATGAGATATCAACCACCAGTTGATATCAATTGAAAGTTGAGGAATGCAACTCGTCGGATCGTCTATGTTGGACGCTTACAAGCATAGTTTAGTGGTTGGTGTAGTGTGTGTTTTGGGTGATTAGTGTTAGAGATCCACATCCAGTGGATCCCTGACCTTATCACGAAAGCATGTCGCACCAAGCTGCTTTCGTGTTTTGAGTGTTTTAGCCATAGATCCCGAGCACACCGTTCAACGCCCCTTCAAATGCCGGCACAATTCACTATCTCTTCCAATTTGGCCCAAATCTGGCTTCAATTCCGCGTTGTGATCCTGCAGATGTAGGCGGAGGTGCAAGATATTTACATATAATCAATTTGAGCACATTCCGCGTCCATTTGAAGGTAGGTGTAATTAAATACAGACCGGTTTCCGCTTAGGCATCAGTCACTTTTTTTTTTTTTCCGAATCAACAAATGGGAAGGTAGAGGGAGTGCAAGACCCCGCTGTAACAATGAGAGTCGCGGGTAGTAACTGCAAAGGAGAGACACAACTGAGGCCTGTACTGTGTGCTTTGTCAAGATTTGTTCAAAATGTGTCTATGCAGACCATCATAGCGACTGTGCCACCAAATTAGACTTGTAACCAGTCTGCCAGGTATGGCAATTCTTAGTGCAAGCTCTATGCCATAGGCAGACTGGTACAACTCGGACCAAATAAAGGGCTGAGCGCGGAGTTTGAATCTTTTTCTTCTTGGCTACATTCTGTCAATTCATCTCGGTTGCAGAAAGTCAAAGGAGAGATATAAATCTAAGAGGACTCTTCTATCATTATGCTGGTTCAAAATTTTAAATATGACACAGAGGGTGAGTTGCAGACACTGAGATTATAGGGGAAATGATGGCTCTGCGCAGCCACTGTGATGCCGATGATCGGCACCCGCCAAAGATTTCAAACTCAGGCTCAGGCCTTTTGCACAGCCCGAGTTGTACCAGCCTGCCTACGGCACAGTGCTTGCACTGAGTATCACCGTTCTTTGGCACCAAATATAGTGCAGTATAGTTTGCATACAGAACAACATAGTACTACTGTAAGGGCAACCACGGAGGCCCGAGGTACTCAGGGACTGACATGGGGGATCCAAAGGTTAATTGACAGTAGCTAAATATACAGGAAAGCACACCTGACGTGGGGGATCCAAAGAGAAGAAACTCTGAGGATTCCCATGCCAGTCGCGAGTATAAGTAAGCTACTAGCTAGGACCATGTGACTGGAGTGATCGGCAGATGTCCCGGGCTTGGTCACATGCAAGGTGCCATCGGGGGTCCCCCTGATGGCAGGTCACGTGCCGGTTTCCGGTACCGGTTCCGGTAGACCGGTGACTGGGAGAGCGACCGGGAGGGTCCGAGGAGTGTTGGATGGGGGTTGGGACGGGGGTTCCCCTGACAACTACACAATTTTTAATGGAAACGATGTAGTGCTATAGGATTGATGCTGAGACCTATGTAGACTATGAAGCACTATGCAATGTCCAGCCAAGCTATTGGAGCTACGGCTGCTATATTTTGCTATGTAAGTGACTGCGCAACTACGACCCGGAGACATTTTCCTGATGTGGCGACCAATCCATGGTCACAGCAGTGTGGGCATGTCATTTCAACTTTCTCTTGGAAGCCGGATCATTTGAACTGTGTTGATGGAACCAATATCATTTCAACTTTTTTTTTGTGGAACAGTGTCATCTCAATTTTTTCAGTGGAAAGGTGCCATTTCAATGCTTTTCTGCTGTCTTATTTATTGGACAATATATAGCCCACACATCCATGCTGCCTGATGCCAATGAGACGTAACGAAGCTAGCTGGTGGGATAAGAGGCACTCGTGGACTGTGGTTATCATTCCTCCATAAATATGCATGCAAACAATTGGTTTTGGGAGAGTCGGAGGTTCGAATCCTCTCGCGAGTATTGATGGTGGTTGCTGTTGTTTCTTGTTTCCTTCCTTTTTTGTTGGATAAACTCTAACCTGACTGCAAATGTGATGTATTAATACATTGTGTGCGACCCCGAGAACATAACCGTTCTGCTTACCAGTGTGAATCAGTCTGTGGAATATCGATTTTTTTTCTGTCTCTGAACAACCAGAGCATACATATACATGTTCTCAAACCCGTGAGGCAAAGAAGTTGAACGGTAACACATAGGAGCCCTCGTGGATCGCAGTGATCACTCCTCTCTCCATAGACCCTGACTGTGTACACATTATGAGGAGAGGCGGAGGTTCAAATCCTCCCGAGGGCATTAGTCGGTCTGCATTGTCTTTTTAATTGGTGAAGGAAAGATGTACCAAGTACTCTTTTTTCAAACTCGTCACCCTGAGTATAAGTCAGCCGCTCACCCATGTGGTTCTGCTTACCAGACGAGTAAATCAGTGCCTGTACAACGATCCGTGGATTGATTTATTTTGGTTCTTTTGAACACCAACAGAATGATGTGCTCTAAAACCGACCAGACAAAGTGCAAATATAAGGAGAGAGGGAATGCCCTCGTGGATCCTGGCTATCGCTCCTCCATTCGTAAAATGGCCTGCGTGACGTTTGAGGAGAGGCGGAGGTTCGAATCCTCCCGAGGGCATAAACAGAATGGATGTTTCGTTTTTGCTGCTCTCGATTGAAAAAACATACGCTTTGAACTATTGCGCTGTGTCTTTACGCATGCCTGCGTTGTTGACCATGCATCGCGACGCGACGCGCACCGACCACGTGACGGCGTCCCACCAAACACATCGCAACACGCCTCCTCGTTCCTCTTGGGTTATCCACGCGTTCTGGTCTTGCTCGGGTCCATGCCAGCAAGAAATCGAAGGAATACTTGAAGCAACATCTGACTTGCTGCCACTGAGAGAACCCAACGTGAAGCAATGCCACGGCGCGCAGACGACCAGCCACAGCGGCCGCGAGTCCCAAGCAGTTCTAACATCGTCAACTTTGCGCCCCCGCCCCTTGGCGCGCGGCGCCCATCATGGATCGGGAACACACCCTCTGCCTCTGTGTCGGCCTCCCTTCCTATGGGCGGTATGGCTATAAGCATGGAAGCCATCGCTGCGGGCCGACGACCGAGCTGGACGCCCGCGCCCCTTGACGGCAGCGGCAGCAGCGGCGGGGGGATGCATATGGCCGCGTTAAAGAGCAAGCAGAGGATGTTCTACCCTGCGACGGCGGAGGAGTCTGGTTCGGCTTCGAATTCAAATGAGGGGACGAGTCCTGGCTCAGGGTCGGGGTCGGGGTCGGACGAGTACTCGTCGCGGAGACATGGAGGGGGAGGTGAAGGCGGTGGGGGCCAGGGCGATGGGACGGGCGAGAGCTCAGAGGACACTAGCAACTTTCGGATAGGGATGCAAATCGATATGAAGGCCCTTGTGGGGGATGCGGTGGGGAATGTGGGTGCTGTCTTCTCTCCCTCCACACAATTCTATATATTCTGACTTGATTTTTTCTTTCCTTTTTTTATTATTGGTGTGGCAGATGTCCATCTCCCCGACCTCACGCGACATTGTCCTCGCAGCGCGCCGCGGGCTCTTCATCATCGACCTCGAGTCGCCCTTCAGCGTTCCGCGCTTCCTCCCACAGGGCGGAACATGGAACGTCGCCGACGTCCAGTGGAATCCGCACGTTAGTCGCGCGGAGTACATCGTGAGCACGAGCTCGGAGAAGCTGTGCGTTCCTTTGCTTTCCCTCTCCCTCCTGCGTTTGCGCTAACATCCCTACCCAGTCTCATCTGGAACCTCCTCCTCCCCTCCCCCTCCTATCCCTACCCCACCACCACCACCAACTCCTCATCCTCATCCTCCTCTCCAGTGAATGCACACGCGAAATCCACTTCAGCTTCAGCACCAGGTGTGGGACCGACACCGACAGCCTCGACCGCCTCTGCGCCCTCCTCGATCGCACACGTCCTGCACGCGCACTACCGCGCCATCACGGACATCAACTGGCACCCCGCGCCTGCGGAGAGGGATGTGGTGGCTAGTACCGGTGCGTTTTGTCGCGTTCTCAATTCAACTCCCCTTCTTTCGATTCCTTCATATTCCATCAACGAGCTGCGCTAACGCTTACCGTAGGTATTGACGCGTGGGTATGGGCGTGGGACCTGCGCGCCGCGGCGGGCGGACGGGCAGTGTTTGGGCTTAGTGCGTTTAATGGTATGTTCTCTCCTCAGCGTCTCTTCTTTACCTTTCTTCACTTTCTTCATTCTTACGTTCCTCCCCTTCATTTCTCGTGCCTCCATCCCGTCCCTCCGTCCTTCCCTTCCTCCTTTTCCCGTCGTCCTTCCCTTCTTTTCACTCCACTCATCTTCACATTACCCCTCCCCCCTCCCTCGCCGCGAATACCGAGTAAAGACGAGTAACACTAACTCAGCACCTTATAGCGGGCGGCACGCAAGTCAAGTGGAACAGGCAAGACCCGCACGTCCTCGCATCGAGCCATGCGGGCGAGGTGTTGATCTGGGATCGGAGGGTGCGCCCCTCTTTCGCTGCTCCCTCTTTCCCATCCTTTACCTCTTTTCGTCCCCTCCGCTTTCCCTCTCGCTACCTCAAATATCTCAGAAAAGAGCTAATACCCACACAGAAAGGCTCCCTCCCCATCACCCGCCTCCGCGCGCACCGCTCCAAGATCTACGGCATCGACTGGAGCCCCGCGGTGAGGGATGAGCTCGTGACGTGTGCGTTGGATGGGGAGATTAAGGTGTGTGTTTTGTTTTGTGTACTTTGGAAGGGATTTTCCTCTTCCTTCTTTCTTGTTGCGTGGGTGTTTGGGGGGTTGAGGATGGGGAAGAAGGGTGCGGGTATCTGATCGCCTTCGTGCTCGCCCGATAGAGGCAAGGCATACCCGGCTCGAGGCTGAACTGCGGAGACGGGCCAGCTCGGTGACGGAGTCGCCATCCTTCTCCTCCTTCTGTTGTCCGCCCTTCCCAACCGTCCTCTCAGCGTTGTTTCTCTTACCGCTCCACTCCGCTGCAGGAGGCGCACGCTAACCAATAATTCATTTCACTCACACAGGTCTGGGACGTCGGTGTGGCGGGCGATCATGGCGGGGGACTGTATGGGGTGCGTCTATTTCGCTTTCTATTTTGTTTTGTTTCTCTTGTATTCTCTCCGCTTTGATTCTTCCTCTGACTTGACGGTATCGTGCGACCGCATGTCCTGCTCCTCATACCCCTGCGTCGCTTTTCTTGTCATCCTCCTCTTCAACCTCCTCTTCCTCGTATTCACACTCCTCTTCCTCAGGGCACCGGCTCATGGGCTTGCGACACCTGCGCGCCGGACCACCACCACGACCACCACGCACACTTTGCCTCTTCGGGACAAGGTCACGGATACGGATATGGATACGCCTCCGGCTCCGCGGGGTCCGGGACGCACATGCCCGCGCACACAATCCGCACGGCACACCCCGTATGGCGCGCGCGGCACCTGCCGTTTGGGCGCGGGGTGCTGAGCTTGCCGCAGCGCGGGGGTACGGGGCTTGGGATGTATGCGTTTGGTGAGTGATTTCAAGGATTGAGGAATGGGCGGTTGGGTGGCGGCGATGACGCCGAGGCGCTATTTCTTTGCATTTCCTCAGCATCCGCGTTTTAATCTGGCCACTAACAACACAACGTTCTTCATCAGGCACTCCGCCTGCCCGCTTACGCGCAGGATCGGGCGCCAGCCACCAGCGCACGCGCGCGCGCAAGCGTCGGCGAGGCGAGGACTCGGATGACTCGGACTCGGACGACGAGGGGCGCGCACGGGCGGAGGGTAAGAACCGCGGGGGTGATTGGGATGGGGTTGGAGATGGGGAGAGACATGTGGTATGGGGTGGGGACGATCCGGTGGAGGTGTTCGAAGGGCATACGGATGTGGTGAAGGAGTTCGTGTGGAGGAGGGGTGGTGGTAAGTTGCTGTTTATTTTAGGGTTCTTCACGCTGACGATTGAGAAGCAGACGGGACGGCGTTCCAGCTCATTACTTGGTCGAAGGATCGCACGCTACGCTTTTGGCCGGTGGATGCGGAGGCGATGGCGGTGAGTCTGCTTGTGCATATGCATGCTCCTCCGCACTTTTCTCTGACGCGTCGCCGACAGAAAGTTGGGTACGTTCGTCCCGCTGAGCCCCTCGTCGGATCTGCGCTCCCCGAATCCACGGCGACGCCTGCCACGACGCTGCTCGCCAACGTATTGTCCTTGTCCGGATCCACGCCGGTAGAAACAGCGACACCCGCCAAGGACGAGAAACTCCCACCCCCCGCGCCGACCTTCTCCTTCCGCAACCCACCGCCGCCCGAGACGCTCGACCCGAGCATCCTGAACGGCAACACGCTCGGCCTGACGTCTCCACATTTCCCGGCGCTCTCCGCCCCTATCGGTGCGCGCACGATCCTCGCAGGCGTGCGCGCTGGGGCGCCTGTTGGGACCAAGCACACCGCTGCTCACGACACGCGCCGCGGCACACGCTTACCGCTCAGCGGGGCGGTGGGGTCGACGCGGATGTCGCGCGGGACGGCGGGCGGGCGGCGCGTGGGGATGGACGCGCTGAACGCGCTGACGTGGATATCGAACGTGAAAGAGGTCGCGGGCGGGGCAGGCGGGGAGCGGAGCAGCTCGGGTGGGCGCGGGGCGGGGAGCAGTGGCGGCGTCAGCGAGTTTGAGCGCTCGGAGAGTGCGGTGGGGCTTGCGAGGCGGCGGAGCGATAGTCGGGGGCGCGGGGCACACATAGAGGAGGGGCAGAGTCTGCAGGATGAGTGCGTGCCTTGTCTTTTGTTTTGCGGTTTTGAAAAACGCTAATATGTGAGCAGGCTGACTTCTGTGATCAATAAGCTCGTATCGGCCAAAATCAAGCTCGAGAAAGTACGTCGGGCACGCTCGTGGTGTTACTCCGCACTCATTCTGCGCAGCACGATCTCACGAAGAAGCGGACGTGCACGCTGGGGCTGCATGGCCCGTGGGGCGAGTCATCTTCGGTATTCATCCGCATCACCTTCACGTTCCCGAAGGACTACCCGCACGGCGTTTACCCGCGCGGCACGCCGACCGTCGAGCTCGAGCGCAACCCGCTCATTTCTCTCAAGAACCGCGCGTTCATCCTCCGTCGCCTGCGCGCACTGAGGGAACGACAACGCCCGTGCCTCGAGGCTTGCTTACGCTTCCTCAGTGAGGGCGAGAAGTCCGGCGCGCCTCATCCAATGGACTCTGGATCTTCAGATGAGGAGGAGGCCTCGCGCAAGTCGCGCGACTTCACGGTGTCGCTCCTTCGCAGCCACA